GATTTTAGCGCGTGTTTGGGAAAATTTGGAATATGTGCAACAATTCTTCTGCTAAAATTTTTGCATCATTAAGTGTCAGCAAGGCCCTCATTCTTCAAAGACACGCACATGCATCGGACACTGGTGGCATCAGCTTCCACCGAACCCTGTAGTTTGAACTTGGCTTCCTCACAGAAATGTCTTCCAGCAGCAGCCTCCAAGGTCCGGAGAGCAGCCATGACGGAGGACACTGCGTTGTAGTCTTCACAAGCCTGCGGAATGGGGTAATAAGAAAATGTCTAAGGCTGCATTGTTGCGCGGTGTATAAAGACACGTTACAAATCAGAAAGACATGCAGCACTGAGAGGATACTAAGAGCTGACAAGGAACTAGAGGCCAAGCATGATGAGGACGTGGGTAAGTCTTCGAGGTGTAAGCTCTGATGATGCCAAGGAGAGAGGTTGGAGTCAAAGATCCATAGCGTGACAACGGCAACTACTTCTGGAGAGAAAGAGCGTTGGTATACTTCTTGCATTCCCAGTTGGTACAGCGGTAGTATAATGCTCCCATCTTCCAGCGGTTTGAAGGAAACCTAGACGCGGAAGCTCGGCCAACGCCTGCTCGGGAGAGTTCCAATCTCCATGCTTTCTGGTGTTGCGTTCCACTCGGTTCTGTGAAGCGACGACATCTCCAGAGTATTGTTTCCGAGCTGCAGTCCTGTAGGCCTTGCGATTCTTGGGCTGCGTCCTCTTGCCAGGCTTTCGACACTTCTTGCGGTCAGCTGCCACGCCTGTACCCCGGCAGACGCGACTCTGAGCTGTGCGAGGTTTGCCCTGGGACCTGCAAAGTGCAGGTGGCCAAGGTATGCTGCCGCAAGCCACACAGCCGACACGACTTATCTTTGTTGGCCGGCATGGCAAAAAGAACGAAGGTGACAGTGAATTTCTTTTGCCACTGTTGCGTGGACATGGTATGGTCGTCTTTGAATCATCATCTCTGGTCATTTTTGTTTGCGAAGTGTTTCTATGTTCATCTCATGCATGGAAAACTCGGGAAAACTCATGAGACTAGCAAGAATGTGTGTGTGTGTTGTAGGAAGGACCGATTAAAAATTTTCGCGCCCAGATGGCGACTGAAATTCACAGCGGTGCAACTGGCACACTGATTCAGAGCAGCGCAAAGTCTGGCTTCAAGGCAACATGTACTATATATAGTTTATTTTTAACCTTTGTATAAATGTATACATGTATGTATATATATATATATAGATAATCTCATCGAATTTGGTACAGACAGAAGCAGGCTGTGACAGCTGTGTTGGCGCTCAAGGATGGACAAGCATTGCAACCTCACAGCATCATGACTCAGCTTTTTTGCGCGCATGCCAACGATTGGCCAACTTGGATTTTTTCACAGGTCTCACTGGTCAGCAGTGTCAACATGTCCATTCCTCATCAAGCTCAGCTTGAGTCGCCATACTTCTGTTTCTGGAATTTGGGAAACTTTTTAAACTCACTCCCAGATGCTTTCTGCATCTCCCAACATAGGCGTTCGCCCGAGGCATCGAATCTAAACCAACGGTTGCAAATCACATAGGCTTGGCCTCTTCTTTCAGCACTACTGTTGGCGCTGAAGGCATGTGCAGATCGAGCGCAACCACACTTGCTGCAGCTTCCAAATTTGAAACTCTTACGCTCCGGGGGACCCGTGAGTTCTGACTTCTTACTGCCAGTTTGCTGATGTCCAGCGTTGACAGAGCGCTCTTCAGCCCAAGTCTCCAACATTGCGGCTCTCTGCAACAAGGAGGGAACCTGCCATGGTTGCACATCGGGTCCCGCAGCTGCAGCAGAAGAAGCCGCAGTATTCACAATGGGATCCATTCCATGCGTCGGGTCTTTGAAGAATAATCTGCATTCAGCTGAGACAGTTCCACCTGTCAGGGCCCAATGGAGACAAAACGGCTTGCCCAAAGATATTCTTTGATTCATGAATTTTCTCATGAATTGCCAAGAGACATTAAAACTTGTTATATTAACAGGTCTTCCAACCGATGTCCCGAGCCTCATCGCACACAAATTGCCAATTCTGAACTTCCTCTGCAGTTGGCTCTTCATCGGAGGAGCTGATGGTCACAGGTTCTCAAGAATAGAAATCCAAAGCAAAATCAGTCATAGTCATAGCCGCATCGGTTTGTTCAATCAAATCAGGCTGTGGTTGTCCGCCAAACTTCTGTGGCACCATCGCATCAGCACAACCACGGAAAATATCGGAGATCCATGTCGCGATAACATCCAAAGGTAGAGCTCTTTTCTGCTACTCGATCTCTGCTGGCCAAACGAAAGCGCTTTTGCTCCGGCGTAAATAAAGCAGCTTCATCCAAGTCCAGGTATCGTGCATTCACCAAGCCTGCAGTACCAGAGGAAACAACCCAAAGACTGCAACAACACATATTCAAATTTCCAAACAAGTTATCTAGTGCATTCAAGTCACCATTCCAAATCTGCAGTCTCAAGAACAGCTTAAAATGCAACATGAAATCCCATGGAACGCAACCGGTGCAGCGCAAAGCGAATAGCAGCGTCAAACATTCGAACAATTGCACATTGGATAACATCATGCAGAGATCGACATGAAGAGGTTCAGGCATCAACTTTGAGCCACGGCTGCACCAGCAGCAATTTTCAATTCCTTCCAATGTGAACTCCATTTGCAATATTTCTTGGGTCGCACCTTATGTTCAATAATTCAAAATGAAATCAAGTGAGGTCGTCTGAACAACGAAATTAGTGTGACGTCATTGCCAAGGTTGAGGTCGTTGAACGCGCTTTGCCTGGCAGCACACATACGGATCTCATAGCTAAAGACATCAAATGCATGGGCGGTTTTGAGGGTCGATGTTTGTTCGGTGGACAGTATATTTGTGATTGTGTAAATATAAACATATATATATCTTTTATTTCATATGTCCAAGTTACATAAATCTATCCGTCAGTATCATGATTCCATTTTCGGTGCTTTAATCCACTGGTATGTATATACATATATACATACAATATCTAGGTAGAGATCACGTGGGGTTGTCTCAAAATAATGTATCTCCAAATCCCTCTGTTAAAAGCCGCATACACGACCGACCGATGTGTTTAGGAAGGATGTCTGCAATGTTGTCTCTCCTCTCTCTCTCACCCGGTCGCGCCTCAACCAAGAGCTCGTTGTCAACAATGCGCTTCACGAGCAAACGGGATCGGGTACAGGCAGAAGGTTAGATACTTTGTGTACATTTCCCCTTAATTTCAAAATTTTACCTTATTCGGGGGAGACGTCATGACGTCGAATTAAATGGTACAAACATTTGCAATCATGAATCTCTTTTCGAAAAGATATGCCCCTACACACTTGAAAACTCCATAGCCTAGCATGAAACCAGTTTGCAAGTGCAAGAGAAGATGTCATAGCGTAGCATGAAACCTGGCTGCAAGTGCAAGAGAAGATGTCATAGCGTAGAATGAAACCTGGGTGCAAGTGCAAGACAAGATGTCATAGCGTAGCATGAAACATGTTTGCAAGTGCAAGAGAAGATGTCATAGCGTAGCATGAAACATGTTTGCAAGTGCAAGGTACGTTATTACGCCCCCCCCACCCCCCATAGAGTAGCATGACACCTGGCTGCAAGTGCAAGAGAAGATGTCATAGCGTAGCATGAAACATTTTTGCAAGTGCAAGGGACGTTCTTACGCCCAACCCCACCCCCCCTCACCCTGCCCCTCACCCACCCCCCCACACCCCACCCCATGCGTGACAAGATCCACAGCAGCTGAGGCGTTGACCTGAGAGGAGAGGTGAAAATGTGCAAAAACGTAGGGGTCATTAATAACGCCGTTGGCAAAAACAAGCATATTCCACGGGGCCGTACCTTGGGTGTGAGCACAAACAACTTTCCTGGGAATGCGCTGCTATACTTAAAGAGGGGATGGAACTTTACCTATACCTATACCCTCCAACACAGGGCGTGAATTCTCTGGTGTGTTTTTTTTTTGGACGGAACCCCCAGCGATGTACCGAGCAACACCTGGGAATTGTATCAAAACATGGGTGGAGGGAACACATCAAATAGACTGCCAAGTTTTGGATTGTAGGGAAAACAGCCCAGACTTGTGAATGTTTCATTGCCATGCTGGTTTACGGGAGATAACCCGTGCTATTTTTGGGCCACACCGCAATAGGTCTATCTCATAATTTTGGGTTCCACAAGATTGCCATTGGCATCCATTAAAATTTGAAGCGAACATAAATGGTGGTAAAACCGGTTTTCGTGTGGTTCCCAAAGTACAAACCATTTATATCATTTTATACCTTAGGACTGACACCCTCTATCCCCAGCTGCGGAAACGCAGGCTGCCCATATGCCTTTGGGTCGCGCGGAAGAAGGACATGTCGGACATGGTTGACCAGTGTGGAAAGCGCTTTGTTGGACAGGCTCCAACTTATTATCAATAGACAATTCCCACAAGCTGTGGGAAGCGATTCCCTAGGTATATGATTGTACAATTGCTGGGAATGGGTGTGTTCACACTATTTTGCCCGCGGTAGAAACAATCCATGTATTTAGCAACCCTGTGGGAGGTGATGCCGAATGGTTACTATACTGTGGCTAAGGTGATTTACAACAAGTAGGACGACTGTTGGGTTTATTGTAGATGTATCGAACCAGTGATTCTTTAAGCAAAGACAACTTAGTGGGATCACATTGTGACGATCAATATGAATCCTCAGCGAAGCGTTTTGGTTACCGCAAGTCTTTCACCCGTCAAGCATTTTTGGACGCACTGTTCTCCTAGAAGGTGGAGCCCCGTTTGATAGCTAAGTTGGTTAACCACTTAAGGGCTCATGGTGGATACATGGTTTCACCAACAAACATCAGCCTGGGGTGGGCCCCCAACATCCCCCAACATCCCGGATGCCCCTTCTGGATCTGCACCTGGCGATTTTTTTGCGGCTCAAAGTTCGTGACGTTCGTGACGCGGTGGCCATGGCAGCTGTTCCACCCAGTCATCGAGAGTTTTTTGTTCAGCTGTCCAAAGGTCGAATTGTTCTAGTGTATCTTGGTCCCAGTCTGGAATCTCGGACAGATGAAGATTTTTGCTGTCGAACATCGACAAATCAATGGCCCGAAGTGTGAATCAATTCACTTGAGAAAAAGTGGTCCAGGATTGTATCAGTAAAATAGTAACATGGTCAATCCACAAAATCTCTAAACCCTGGTTCAATCTCCTTGGGTCGACCAGGAACTGCTGGATCTTCGACTGCAGAAGGGCGCCTCACCCGGCGTCAGCGTCGACGACTTGCAGGGCTTCGCGTTGAACTCCAAGGGCCGAGAGCTTCGGAAGGCCATCGAACGCCTCGGGCGGAGCTGCCAGGGTGAACTCGAAGAGAAGCTGCAAAAGCTCACAGGACAGTGGAGATGGGGGCAGCAGGTAGCAAGTGGTGTATGACTTTCTTGCATGTTACAATTATATATGATATGATGATTATAATGCTAAGATATTCTAAGATATAATATATGAATATAAATTACACAATATACAAATGATTATATATATACACGTATATATTATATATATGTATAAAATTAGATATATATAATTATACATTTTATCATACATTTAGTTATATATTATATATTATATATTATATATTATATATTATATATTATATATGCATTATGTATTAAATGATATATATATATATTTATATAAGTATATATGTATAAGATTCTATTTATAATTATATATATATAACTATTTTTTTAAAATTTATACAATTATACATATATATATACACGTATATATAATATACTTATATATATATAGCGGTGGTATATCCTGCATGACTGGGTTATAATGTGGCCAGTACCCACTTACTGTAGTAATCGGGTTCCCTGACATCCAATAAGCAGTGATGCGGTATCTACAACCTCTTGTTGTCCTTTCAACACCTTGGCTCAGAAATGCCACAGAAAGCGAGTTTGTGAATACCAGGAAAGGGGTGATCATGGAAAGATATCTGACTCTCCTTATCATTCTATAGGATGGCTGCCTTTTTCGCAAGGAATGGGACTCGCCCGGTCGCCCTTTGACATCTCAGTATTGTCTATATCCCAGACACAGCTGTTTGTATCCCACTTCTGCTTGCATCAGTTAATGTCCCAGTTTGAACCGGTTCCCAATCCACTTTCCAAACTCAGTTGTACAACTACCATATCCATTGATTACCGATCCATACCCAATCTCAATGCGACCAAGACCGATCCATAGGTATGGATCACCGATCCATAACCGTTGTTTCAGCCATAGCCAAGGGCGGGATCTAAACTACTACTTATACCCAATATTCTCAAAAACAATATAATCTATTATTCACAAATTGTATCAACATTAATATACCAATCGATATATTTGGTTAATTATATTCCCATGATATTCCCGTTTTTTTGCTGCTTAAATCGTAACATTCACCCTTAAACAATTCAATCTTTGCGGCTGAAATCCAAATTTTCATCATCCAAAAAACAGATGAAATCCATATTTTCATGGAAAAAAAAACCTGAAATCCTAATTTTCCCCATGTTTTCCTCATGGATTTGCCCTATGGTCAACCCATCCCCATGAACGGCCAGGTCACTGGCGTCGCACCCAACGGAGCGCGGCGATTCTGGTGGCCACTGTGGCCACGCGCCCAGCGCCGCGAGTCTTCGTGGAGGACATCGGGAGCAACACGGCGGAGCTGTCCTGGGAACTGCTGGAGGAAAGCAACGAAGGCGGCTGGAACTGGGCTGACCAGGCTGAACTGTGATTATTACAATATAAAACTATTAATACTATGGTGAGGTTAGCATTACTATTTCTAAACCATTACTAATGAACTAGTGGTTATTATTACTATTTTAATAAACTATTATTACTATTACTCTTATTTGGTGAGGATATTAATTATTAACTACTATCATATGGGGGGTTCCACAAATGGGGTTACCCCAATAGCTGGATGGTTTATAAGGGAAAATCCATTTATAAAAGTTTATAAATGGATGATTTGGGCACTATCATAACAGTGGTGAGGATATTGTTAACTATTGTTATATATATTTTAACAAAAACATGTTATAACGATATACCTCAAAGATTAAGATACTATATTAGAGTAACAGTGGTGAGGATATTATTATTACCCTTTGGCAAATTAACAGCGTGGCCCTGAACATGACCCATTTTGAATGGAAACTCAGGTGCCAACCCCTATCTGGCAGGGTCGAACTGTCAATTTACCGGAGGGTAAGATGTGAAAATGAAAGGGACAATCCCGGAACATTGCTGTATGGATATCAATGGATAATCAATGGAGAATTAATTAGTGGATTATCAACAGTCAATGGATAAGTTTTGGATAAATATTGGATAGTTAATGGATAACCAATGGATAATCAATGGATAATGAGTGGATAATCAATGGATAATGAGCGCAACGGACAATTATAATTCATGGATAATTGAAATAGTACATGGGATAATCAACGGGATAATTGATGGATAATTAGTGGATTGTCAAGAATCAATGGATACATAAATATTGTAAAATTATTGCAAATTGGATCGATGATAAGTTGGGTAGATGATAAATGAAACAGCACGCTAATTAATGAATGATTAATGGACAGTCCATGGATAAATGCTGGATAATCAATGGACAATTATTGGATGAATAATGGAAAAAGAATTGCTAATTAAATCTAGTTCATGCATGATTAATGGACAGCCAATGGAGAGCTAATTGGAATTCTAAATGGCCATTTTCAATAGCTATGTTTGTTTACCAGAGGGTAATGCACAATTGAAATATCACATGTCAACCAACAGGAGATTCCGTTAACAAACGGACAACAGACCATGATAACCAATGAATATCATTGCCCAATGGATTCTTTTTACCATTGACAATCAGTTACGACAACTGGATACTTAATGGATAAACATTGATATTTCTGGTATAGGGATTGGATAATCAATGGATAGCTATTGGATAATCGAAATGGTAGATGGGATAACCAATGGATAATTATTTAATTAGTGGATTATCAACTATCAATGGATAAATATTGGATAGTTAATGGATAGCCAATGGATTACTAATTGGCATTCTAAATTTCTTAATGGGATACAAATATCCATTGGATAGTTGCAATTAATGGCTAATTGAAATAATACATGTTAACCAACAGGACATTCTATGACTGTTCATGTAGAAAATTAACTGGCAGTCAACGGAGATCCTTACTTAATGGATATAATAGCCATCACCCTTTGGTAAACAAACATAGCTATTGAAACTGGCCATTTATAGTTGATTTACCCATTAAAAATGGTGATTTCCATAGCTATGTTAGTTTACCAGAGGGTAATGTAGTCTTAAGTATCGGTACATGATTATCAATGGAGACTTGACGGATAGTTAATGGATAATGAGCCGATCATTAACGAATCATGGATGGATAGTGGATGGTGGGATCTGGTTACTGCAATGGTAAAAATATGTGTGTGGAATGTTTGAGTGACACCTGTACTTTTTTTTTGGCATTTACATGTATAATCATATATATATATATATTTGTAGGTCTTATGATAATGGTCTTATGTTGATATGTTTGGTTCCAATCTCGCCATTCTTGATGGCTGAATCATCTTATGTAATCCCAAGTCTTGTGCAATTTGGGAGATTAAAACCCAGGAAAGGCCTCAGAGATGATGGTCTATGGTTAGAAATATGATTGCCAAGTGGTAATTTTACAGTTTGCGAATTGGAACATAAACATTTTAATCATGTCTCACTAAAGGGACCATGGCTTCCAGTTCGCGAAGTGTAACAAATGACCAGCGGGTATATATGACCGATATCACCTCCAAATAGTTCGATGTTTTTCCCACGAAACTTCCAGATAGTTCGGGGTTTCTCCTATCCTCTCAGGTTTTTTTGAAGTCGCCCTGTTTGGCTATGACCGCTCCTCACGGCTCCGTGATGGCCACGATGGCCCTTCCCTTGCCAAACTGGGAAACTTCCGCGTGGAAGGTTGGACAGTGATCAGCAATCCACGCTGAGAGATGTACTGTCGGCGATGCCCCGAAGTTAGCTAAGTTGGTTTATACAATGTGGTGCCGAACACCCCCAGTTATGTTTGTCATTTTTTTGAGCCCAGTAACTAGTTTGATATATCTACTACCATAGGTCCTAGTTATTAGGGTTGTAAACCAACTATCTTGGGGGCACCGCCTTGTAACCTATGTCAACTGTGGTTTATCGTTGGTTTATATCTATGTCAACTATTGTTTATTGTTGGTTTATATCTATGTCAACTATGGTTTATTTATGGATGTTTATGGATGCTTATGGATGTTTATGGTAGATTTTACCCCCTGGTAAACTAACATAGCTTTCGAACATGGCCCATTTGTAGTTGATTTACCCATTAAAAATGGTGATTTTCCATAGCTATGTTAGTTAATCAATGGGATTATAAACCAAGTTACTACTGGGTGGCATCACCTTGTACCATGCAGGTTTTTAACAGAAGGATGCGGATAATCCACCAGAAATGTGGATGACTTTCCACCAATGTTTCGTTTTCCAGATCTATGTGATAGTTGGCTGGGGGTACCCTCTGGTAAACGTTTACAAAACTATGGAAAATTACCATTTTATAGCTGGGTAAATCAACTATCAATGGCCATTTTCAATAGCTATGTTAAATTACCAGAGGGTATAAAATTTATCAGGAAATAAAATCTCTGCCGGAAGGGGTTTAGTGTAGCTTTTTTAAGAAATACCAAGTAATGTGGGTAAAACATGGAAACACAATAATAAACCATCCCCCAAATCATCATAAATAGGTGGTCCCAAATGGGTGGTTTATTATTGTTTTACACACGTTTCTGATATCATTGCTCACTTCCCTGAACCTTTCTCCAGCTCCCGCCCACAAAACAATATCGACCCGGACTGCATGTCGATTCATCCATCCAACGCCAGCTCATTCCTGTAGATCCATCCCAGACCGCTTCACATCATTCGTACTTATTCCGGTTATAGAACTACTCGTCATCATTAACCCAAAGCATTAACCAAATCATGTGTCAACTTCGCCATCATCAATCAATTACAAATCCCATGAAATCCCATGAATTTCTCATTTTTTCTTGGTTGAATCCTGTGGTTTTCCTATGATTTTCAAACATCCAAGGGCCATGGAGTTCCGCCGGCCAGGTGGCCACCTAGCGCGTCGCTTCCGGCTCCAGCACTTGGAGGAGCTGCGCTGGTATCGCGTGAAGCTGCGCATGCTGGCGCCTCAAAGGCGATGGATGTCGGATGCTGAGCCATGAAAATCCCAGGATTTGGAGTTCCTCCAAGAAATTTGGGAGTTAAGCCATGATTCCCCAGTGTATCCACACAGTTTGGGGTTTTTACACTAGGGGTTAAGTTAAGGGTGGTGCTTGATCAGGGTGCTCCATCTGGCTTTTGGCATTTTTCCCGTAAATTCTCGCATAAAATTGCTCTTGTGCGATGTCCATGTGCATTTCGACTGCGCAGGCTCGCACAAAGTCTGCGGCGCGGGTTTTGCTTCATCTTGCGACGCGGCATTTTTCCTGTAAATTCTAGCATAAAATGGCTCTTCTGAGATGTCCATGTCCATTTCGACTGCGCAGGCTTGCGCAAAGTGTAGGTCCCGGTCTTGTCATGCTCTTGGGGCGCGGCATTTTCCCTGAGAATTCTCGTGTGACATGTCCATGTCCATTTCAGGCTCGCAGAAAGTATGGGTCCCGGCAGGCAGCCTGGGCACTGCGCGCACGGTTCTCACGGTTATTCCGTCTTGAGCCAACAGAGGATGCCAGGGCGGGTGAGGTTCCACGGGATGACCGCTGGAAGCTACTTTTGGAACCCAGTGGTTAATGAATATATCCGCGTCGAAAAGAATCCCAGTGCAGGACGAACTTTCTTTTGTCTCTATAAGCAGGCAATGTTCCTTTCGCCGTGATGGCTGTTGCCCACCACGGTGCGTGGTGGCGAACCAGGCCTGCCGCTTGCAGTCGCGCTTGTGGCCGCGCACGTGTCTGAGCTGCATTGAGCAGGACCGGTAAAGCTTCAGGCCATGAATGCACAGAGGTGAGGTTAGGTACTGTGGAGAACCGAGTCTGCGAATTTCATGCTATTTGGTTGCTGCCTGCCCAGGACTTGAAAGCATTGGTGGTCGATATTTGGGGAGCAGGGGCCATTTCTCTTGGCACGATTGCAGTGGAGCGCGCCTGGTGGCCGGTCCACGTTCGAAACGTGAACCGAACGGTGCTTTTTTGTGCATTGGCCGGCTTTTGTTTGCACAACAGGTCCTTATGAGAAGACCTTGCTGAAATCATCTCAGAGGTCCGTGCAAGATCTTGTGCAGGTCCTTGTGAGAAGATCTTGTGAAGATCTTGCTGATTGCTGAAATCATGTAAGAGGTTCTTGCAATATCTTGTGCAGGTCCTTGTGAGAAGATCTTGTGGAGATCCTGTTCAAAACCTCCCTCAAAGGTCCTTGCATGAAGATCTTGAAGATGTTCTGCTTTAGAGGTGCTTGTATGGAAGTTCTTCTGTGATGCTCATAGGAAGTTCTTGTATGAAGGTCTTGCAATATCCTCTATATAGAAGATCATTCTTTGCTGATCTTGTGAAATTCTCTTCGATGTCCTGGTATGGGGTTCTGGTATGAGGTCCTACACATAGAGTTGCTTGTATTCAAAGCATTGACTTCCTATCTCCCCCACACTGTTTGGGGTCTCTTGCCGGGATGTTTTTTAAGGATTCGACGACAAACAAAAATATGGTAATTTATGTTATTATGCACGAAATTGGCAAATGATAGGATTTTTGAACACTATTATATTTGGGTTTGTCAAGAACTCGGGGGTTTAGCAACTTTTTCTTGAGTCTTTGAGCCCAAAAACAAACATGGCCGGGTTTAACTTTGCAATTTTGTGATTTTTGATGCTTCAATCCACAATGGATTCGTGTTGGTCAAATACCCTATATATTTGTGTTCAATTTTTGATGTTTACAGAACCACCTTGGAGAAAACCAAATCAACCAACTAAATCCCCATAAAATGCTAGGTTGAAAATTGGTTCCCTTTTGGTAAACTGACCTAGCTCAAGAACATTGCCCGTTTATATAGATGGATTTAGTTCGTTGATTTACCGGCAAAAATACGAATTTTCCATTTTCCAAAGCAAACTGTTAGGGCAACTTGCCTTATTTCCTAGTGGATTTTCCCACCCCTCTCCAACTTACCCTCTGGTAATCAAACATGGTTTGCTGGAAAAAAACAAAATTTATAGATCATTAGCCTCCATTTAATCCATGGATTTCCTAACAACTCCTAGCAACCAACCATCATTTATCAGTTATTATGATTTATATATTCCCTATTTTGATAGTTAAAATCCTTTGAAACGACTATAAACATCCATGATTTATCAATTTCATCCCAACTATATCTCCAGTTTTTGATCTTTAAAACGCTATGGTTAATCATCGACTGAGGGGTTTCCCATGGCAGCACCATGGCACTCCAAGGAGTGGAGCAACGAAGTCTCCTTTCGGACGCTCAGCTGTGGTGCGGCAAGGGCGGCCGGGCGCCTAGTAGGTGTCTGGGCAGCTGGGGCCGGGCCGTGTTGTGCACCATGAGGTGAAAATGAGGATATTATTGGTTATTAAGGGTTAAAGAGGATTTTAGGAAATCAGTATGTATTACATATAAATATACTACATTATGTATGTTATAATATATATATACACATATATATAATATGGTGATTCAATGGGATATTAATGGGGATAATGTTAATAAAACAATAAGAGACCACCCATATTTTCATTATACCATTCCTAAACATGATAAGATTGGGGATGGTGGATCCTATTCCTGTACTCACATAACGCCTAAGATCCAGGCACCACAGATGACTGGTTGGTGGTTGGTCAGTTGGGAATAATGGATTATAGTGGTTTAATGGACTTTAATGGATTTTGATGGATTGGTGGTTTGGAACATGAATTGTATGACTTTCCATATATTGGGAATGTCATCATCCCAACTGACTCATAATCTTTTTCAGAGGGGTAGGTATACCACCCACCAGATGAGATTGGATGACATCCATGTTTTCACATCTTGTTGGGAAGGTACGTCTAACTTCACCAGTGCCTTGGGAATTATTTACCTGTTCCGAATCCCGAGGCTCCAACAATTTCTTGGTGAAATCCGAGCGTTTGCTGCGGCTGTGCGTTGATGACAGCCAGCTTGAAGAGAACGCCACAGAGATTGAACGCTTGAAGGTTCAATTCGTCAGAGATCTCTTTGGAACGGCGGGTTCCCAAAGCAGTGAGGTGGCGACCAACAATCTGTTGCTTGGAAAGAAGAACGCATCAATATATATATATATATATTATACATATATATATATATATAGCTCTCTCTCTATCTCTCTCTCTTTCTCATACTATATATATATATATATCAATAATCATATATGGATGTCTGGGTAGAGTGGGTAGCTGGGATCACTCCCAACAGTTGGAGGCTGGATGCGCGCTACTGCCAACGTGGCTGGCCAGACTTCGTGCAGCACGGTGCACGCTACTCGCGTCCGCCCCAACAACGAGAGGAACGACTTCGGCGCATGCGCTTGGCGATTGCTGCGGAGGATGTTGGTGGCTGGGTGGTAGGAATTTCTAGCAATCGTAAATGGATTTTCCCAGGAACAAATGGGGTGAAATCGGGATTTAACAACATTTTAACAGAACAAGATATATGCTGAAGGTAGTCATCTAACTTGGTTATAACATGTTATAATCCCAAGAGCAGGGGAAGTTGGTTAGTGAAATTATTTCACTTGGTGATAACATCGCGCCGCTTACGATTTCTGAGATTTTGAGCACCAAGTGGGCGGTAGATGGTCGAGGGTCTCTATCAATCAATCTCAAGAAAACAAGCAGTCCGAATCAGTTCAAGAGTCATGGATTTTTGAGTCATCAACAGGGTGGGAAAGCTCCTAGTCTCAAGTGGCTTCTGGTACCATGTGATACCTGAAGATGCTAATGGAAATCATGGTGGAATTTCGGAATTGTGGCCAGATGCCTGTATTTCTTCTGTATCCTGCGGGACAACAAGGTAACTGTTGGTACAGTTCCATGATGGAAACCCATGCCTTGGAGACCCATGAAGAGCCAGGATTCTTTTGTAGACGTAGCTTTTGACCCACTGCATCTTGTATCATCAAGGTTACTCAAGCAGATTTCTGCAGCGCAGTTTGGAGTGCCAATGATTTTGCCCCCACACTCGCTTACACATGGGTGTGTCTGAAAATAGTGTACCCCTAAACCCAATGGTTAATGATCATTATCCCTATTAAATGGCTATAATTGGGAATATACCCTATTTTCAGACAAACCCACATCTGATTTTTATAAAATGGTGGGAAGCAATTCCTTTTCAATAAGAATGGATAGGTTGGAGCTTGAATGATCACCCCGCTGGTTTACAGCTGTTTCACACTGGTTCCTCGGCTCTGGCAGGAATTGTACGGATCGGAATATCCTTTGCAGAATGCCTGGTTTCAGGGGCCCTTCTACTACGAAGAGACTGGAATGAAGAACATGGCCAAGTATTTTGATAATGCTTAATTTGCCCATATTTGGGTGACTTTCCATCAATGTGCAAAGACAAGTACAATCAGTACAAATCAGTTTTTTAAGCCTTGCAGACGCATCTTAATTCACTGGAATTCACATGCCTGGAAAAACCGGCACCGATTGTTTACAGCTTGGAGAAATGGTGCGAGTGACAGGGATCGCAACACAACAAGTGTCCAGTTTGTATCATCCCACCAATTGTAACTGGTGAACGTAACCATACAACCATAACCCAGCTATAAAGTAGTAGACAATACCATACATAAACCAGCTATGGGTATTAGTAACCAATTCTATGGTTAGTAACCATACTTCTAACCCAGCTATAAATGGTTTTACATAACTCCAAGTAGACAATACCATACAATACCAACAGTCCCCTGAAATATTGGTAAACGCAGCTGAGTGCGAACGCGAAGGCTATATAGAACTGAGCAGGAGTTGGAGAGAGCACAACCAAAAATCAAGGGCAGGGGTTGTTTTTTGGAACTTCCGTTGTGTTGGAATACATGACATACTTGTAGTATCTTGTAGTTGTGTTGTTGTTTGTTCCCGGAAAATATGATACCACCAACTTTGATGGTTGATTCTCCCATTTTCAGACACATATTGGATGAGACATCACCCGGTTTCAGCTTGAGACAGCCACTATCTGCTTTAGGGACACAAGGTCACTCAGAAGAGTCTGTCCAATGGATGGGTTTTGATGACATGTTTCCCTACTCTCCTTCCGGGGTGATGAGTGCAAATGATCCCAATTCACAACTTACATAAGGGATCATTAGAGGTTACTTTACTGCAAACCATTATAATCCCCATTAACTATAGTTATATCTATCATAAACCATAGTTAAGCCACTCATAAGGCAACTTAGCTATCTCGGGGGCCCCATCCTGTACAGTACATGATTTTCAGACATTGGATGTCGGCGAAACATGAACTCCGTAAGATTCGATAAACCATTGCAGGGGATTTCCCCAAGACCCCAACAAGAAAACGGCCGTCAAAGCATAGGGAAGATGATGGTTTAGACTGTTGAAGCGGTGGATGGCAAGTTCCAAACTTTCTTCCGAAAAATTTTCCCAGCCACATCTTAAAAAATACCAAAAGAATCCCAAACAAATCCCAAAAACACCAGGCGCAGTTCTGCACTTGACGACTTTTTTCGTCGCTCAAACTGCCTGCCCAAAAACACCAGGAGCGCCCAGCGAACGCTATGCCGAGCTGGTCGTTTGCGGTGCCAAGGTCTGGGTAAATCTTCTCAACTTTATCCATTACAAATACCCTCTGGTAAACTAACGTAGCTATAGAAAATCACCATTATTAATGGGTAAATCCACTATAAATGGCCATTTTCAATAGCTATGTTATATCACCAGAGGATACAAATAGAGATTGTGAACCATCCAAAAATAGGGGGAGAAATGCCAAGAAACATGGAGATGAAACTTGATTTAAAAAAAGCCAACAAAAAAGGGATTGAACTCATTGAACCAAGAAAAAATGGGGCTTTAACTAGCAACACTGAGGACCCATGGACCAGGAATGCGGTTTAAGGTGGCTGGGTGATTACAGCCGGTTTGCGGAAGTCTTGGGGACCCCAGAATGGACGACATCCTGTCAAGATAGCAAAAACGCTAGCAGCTGTGGCCTTAAGATTTTACCCAGACCGGCCCTACCCTGATATGTTTTTCGGAGCTTGGTGTATCCTGTGAACACAGCAATACTTTTGTAGCCTCAATTGTCATCAACAGTGGCCGGCTGGAAAATCATTATATATATAATATTTTTATCATATCATATTATATTACATTGTATTATATTATACTGTATTATATCCTATAAATATATATATATATATATTTGTTATCTTATATATTATATATTATATATTTTTGCTATCTTATAATCATATATCATATATTATATATTATATATTATATATTTTATAGTATATAGTATATATTATATATTAGATATCATATATTATATATCATATATTATATATCATATATTATATATCATTTATTATATATCATATAATATTTGATTTGATATATTATATTATATATATTATAATATATATAGACACATGCATGCATTTAAATGGGAACAACATCTATAGATTTTGGATTTGCATCGCCTTGTTTGACTACCAGAAGGTATAATTACGTGCTATCTTATATCAGTTTGTGTCTTACTGTCAATTACATCGCACTGACGGTTGCAAGCAACATAGGATCAATTGGGCTCGTTGTAAGTACTCGATGCATTTCATTGTTTTCAGGACTATATGTATAGTACAGGACTATCGCCCGTAAAAAGATGCAGCAACTTTTTTTGCCATCATTAACCACTATTAACCATCATTAACCATCATTAACTAAGGATGTCAAGAGGATGCTGTTTTCCCATGTTTTCCCCATAAGTTCCAGGTTTCCAACTTGTCTATGACGGTTGCTACATCCTTTGCAAACTCTCCGATAATCCATGGAAAATCACCCAGCTATCCCCAGCTATGAAGCTGCATGAAATGGTGGATTTCACATTGCCATGTTTGATGGAAGGGTATCTATGTAGATACCCTCCAATCAAACGTGGGAATGGAAAATCCATTAAAAATCCCTTATAAATGGAGGTTTATAGCTGGGAAAATATCGAACTAAATGGGTGATTTTTCAGCAAGCCACGTTTGATGACACTTAGAGGCTACACAACATGTTCCATGGTATTCCCATGACATGCCCATTATGAAATATTACAGACACATTAAATCCCATCAAACCACATTAAACCATTATGATACCCATCAATTCCTATGTCAAGATCCAAACATAGAAAACATACCAGTAGTACCCGCACGAGGCGGGGCGGAAGTTGCCTTAAAGATATATAAAAGACCTTTCTCATCTATAGAACTTGCATGCGCCGTGCGCCAGCCAAGCCCGTGCGTGCGTGCACTCTGCGAAAGTGGTGTCCTGTTTCACATGTCACATTTGAAGCTCCACTTCGCCCTTCACACTTCTCACTGCACTCTTCACACTCCACACTGCACACTTCACACTTCACACTCCACACTTCTCACTTCACACTGCACTCTTCCCAATCCACACTTCACACTTCACACTCCACACTTCACACTTCACACTTCTCACTTCTCATTGCTTTCTTCACACTCCACACTTCACACTGCACTCTTCGCGCCCCACACTTCACACTGCACTCTTCACACTCCACACTTCATCTCATCTGAGCTCTTCTCACCTTATCCCAGCTCATCTCTTCTCATCTCATCTCTTCTCATATATCACCTATAAGCTTTCATGAATCACTTCCCAGTACTACTACTAAGGAACTTGCATGCTCCGTGCGCCAGCCAGGCCCGTGCGTGCGTGCTTTGTGCGAAGCTGTTGCAGTGTTGCTGTCCAAGAACATGACCTGCGCGTGACCCCGGTACAATGCAAACACTTTCCTCACACTTCACATTGCACTCTTCACACCCCACACTCCACACTTCACACTTGCACTTCATCTCAACTCATCTCATCTGAGCTCTTCTCATCTTATTCCATGTCTTCCCATATGTCAGCTAAGTTCTTCTTGGCTATTTTTATGTCAAGTACTTCCCAGTACTGATGTCTACTACAAAAGCTTGCAAAAACCACTTCCCAGTACTACTTTGTACTACAAAGCTTGCACAAAACACTTCCCAGTACTACTTTGTACTACAAAGCTTGCACAAAGCACTTCCCAGTACTACTTTGTACTACCAAGCTTGCACAAAGCACTTCCCAGTACTACTTTGTACTACAAAGCTTGCACAAAACACGTTCCAGTACTACTTTGTACTACAAAGCTTGCACAAAGCACTTCCCAGTACTACAAAGCTTGCACAAAGCACTTCCCAGTACTACTTTGTACTACAAAGCTTGCACAAACTACTTCCCAGTACTACTTTGTACTACAAAGCTTGCACAAAACACGTTCCAGTACTACTTTGTACTACAAAGCTTGCACAAAGCACTCCCCGGTACTACTTTGTACTACAAAGCTTGCACAAACTACTTCCCAGTACTACTTTGTACTACAAAGCTTGCACAAAGCACTCCCCAGTACTACTTTGTACTACAAAGCTTGCACAAACTACTTCCCAGTACTACTTTGTACTACAAAGCTTGCACAAAACACGTTCGAGTACTACTTTGTACTACAAAGCTTCTACACACATCAAGTTCTTTCGCAGAGAAGCTTTTACACACAGCAAGCTTTTCAAGCAGAGAAGCTTTTACACACAGAAGCTTTTACACACAACAAGCTTCTTCACAGAGAAGCTTTCACACACAGCAAGCGTTTACACACAGAACACTTACACACAGTGCTTTTACACATGGCAACCGTTTACACACAGCAACTTTTGCACAGAGACGCTTTTACACACAGAGAGGCTTTTACACACAGCAAGCTTTTACACGCAAAATCTTTTTCACACAGCAAGCTTTCAAACACAGCAGGCGTTTACACACAGAACACTTACACACAGTGCTTTTACACATGGCAAGCGTTTACACACACAGCAAGCTTTTTAAACAGAGAAGCTTTTACACACAACAAGCTTTTACACAGAGAAGCTTTACACAGCAAGCTTTCACACACAGCAAGCTTCTCCACAGAGAAGCTTTTACACAGCAAGCTTTCACACACAGCAAGCGTT